TATATATATATAGTACAGCTACAGAGTATATTAGCACAGAGAAAAAATTCAAAATTACATTCAAGCATTAATTCTAGCAGAGAAAAAGGAAGATTCACATTGCCTATACAAACTTACTAAAAACCTTAGTACTGTGATTTGAATTGAGAAATCTGTAGAGCTTGGGTACATATACTCATTTTCTACTTTGCATAGATTCAGAAGAGCAATACAAGAAATGGAATCTCAAAGAATGGCCTCCCTGAACTCTAGCCTCTGGAATGAAACTACCACATCTGTTTATCAGTATCTTGGTTTTCAAGTCCAAAAAATTTACCCTTTCCATGATAACTGGAACACTGCCTGCTTTGTCATTCTGCTTTTATTTATATTTACAGTGATCTCTTTAGTAGTGCTGGCTTTCCTTTATGAAGTGCTTGACTGCTGCTGCTGTGTAAAAAATAAAACTGTGAAAGACCTGCAAAGCGAGCCTAACCCTCTTAGAAGTATGATGGACAACATTAGGAAACATGAAATTGAAGTGGTCTAGTGCTCTACCTAAGGTGAAGAAAATCTTTGACAACAGCCTTCAACTACTAAAAAAAAAAAAATTCTGAGGCCAGTTGTTATTGCAAAAATGACTCGACTTTGATTAAAAGATTTCTACTAGAAGAGTAAAACAAGTTCAATATGCACTTTTTGTGTGTGTATCATTAAATGTACAGTGAAACTTCAAAAATGCGAATAATCTATTTAAAATGACACTTCAGAAAGTGGTTGAAAGAGTCCTAGAATTCATTATTAAACAGCAAAAGGTAAATGGAAAAATGTAAGCAAGGCTAATGATGCCAAAATAACTTATATCTACACAACCCATGTGGGCTAAAACAGGTACTACTATCCTCCATGTGTCTTCGTAATAAAAAGACAATTTAAAATCTAAATCCAAAGTTAAATACTTCCATACGTAAAGTCTTCATATATAAAGTCCCTACTTACTAAAAAGCAGTAATTTTCTAGTTCATTAGAAACAACTTCTACATCTTTTTACTTAAGTTTTATGTAGGATTAGTGTTTAAAAAGTCTCAAAATATTCAGGAAAGTCAGTAGTACACTTGCATAAAATTTTCATAAAATTTAATTACTGTTTGGCAAGAAACATGGTCTAAGATGGCTCAGGCTATTTTCAAACTGAAACACCCTAGTATACCCGCTAAGCAGCATTTCTCGTGCTGGTTCTTTCACTTTGCTTCTCATGTTTTCACTCAAGGGCTAAGATGCTCAATGCAGGAAAGACTGCAAAAAAAAGCCAAAAGATAGCACCCACTCAACCCCTGTTAAGAAATATGAAAGTTTTATTTCTTAACATTCTAAGGGCTGTACTGATTCATATTTTATAACCCTAATACTACTACTACTTCACTAGCACCCATGAGCAAACCAAAGCATGTTCTTAACCACTATACAGTAACTGCTCTTAGACCAGAAATGCCATGTGGGAAATTACTTCAAAAGAAAAAAGCTCAAGATACAAAGATATTTACAATAGCATTATTCCAAATAATAAAAAATTGGAAATAACAGCCTTTAACTAAATGTGGCACATCAACTTAATATGATTGTTAAGCTACTGAAAAATTAGGACAAAACAGAAAATACTTGATATGTGAAGAACAAATCTGTCATTTTCAATTTAGAGAACCCTAACTGCCAGTGTGAAATTCCCACAAAAGATTTTATTAATTTTTTCTAACATTAGAAACAAACATAAACAATGGATATAACAAACACAACTTTCAAAGGATCTGTGAAAAACCTAGGTATACAAAATATGTTAGTAACCAGGAGCTTTCTGAGCACTGTTAAAACTACATTTTTATGAACAGTAAACTGGGGTCCATGCTATATAGATGGGAAGCATACAGGACCTTACTAACTACAGTTTCTGATAAGGTACACTATCAACTTTTCTCTACCTGACTGTGTAATTTATTTAACCACTCAACAAATATACATCCAGGGCTTCTGTGTGTGATTAGGTAACAATGGCAAACAAGTAATCATAAAATTACACTGGCACACAATAACTTTGTCAGAAATTGTGAGTGCATAGGAATCCAAAAGCTAAGCATAAATTGAAGCTGGAAAGCAGGAATATGACATGTAAGCTGAAACCTTAAAGAGGAATAGGAATTAGGCAAAGCAAAGAGGGAAGAAAGTAAGAAAAAATGTTCCAGGAAGAGGAAATAACATGAGCAAAGGTCAAGAGGCAAAAATACAGCATGTTAGAGGAGCCACAAGTCAGTATCACTAGGACAGAGTATAGAAGAGTGAGATTGGGGCATAAAAACTAAGTGGAGACTAGATCAGACAGGGCATGTACGCAGGAAAAGATAGCCTTTGTCTAAAAAGCAATGGTCAGCTGCAAACAAAGTGACATCATCAGATTATGCTTAGAAAAATCACTGACTGCTGTGCAGAGAATGGACAGGACAGTAGAGAAGCTAAACCAGTGTGGCAAGCATCTAATCAGGCAACGCAGCAACCCAAGACCCATTGATAAAAATGTAGTACATACACATGGTGGAATATTACTCAGCCATAAAAAAGAAAACCTTGCCATTTGCAACAACATGAATGGGCCTAGAGGGTATCATGCTAAGTGAAATAAGCCAGACAAAGAAAGACAAATACCATATTACTTCACTTACATGTGGAATCTAAAAAACAAAAAAGAAACAGAACCATAAGTATTGACAACAAACTGTTGGTCATTATAGGGAGGCAGTGTGAGGGGAGAAGTGAGGGGTGAAATAGGTGAAGGGGATTAAAGCAGTACAAACTGCAAATCATAAATTAGTCACAGGACTGGAAATTCATCATAGAGAATATAACCAATAATAATATTGCAGTATCTTGGCATGGTAACAGGGGTAAATACACTTACTGTGGCAAGCATCCAATAATGTATATAATTATCACATTACTATGTTGTACATTTGAAACCAATATAACATATCTACTTTATTCCAATAGAAAAATAATAATAGTCAGGCAATGAAATGATTGTGATGCAAACTAGGGTGGTACAGTAGTCTTTACTGTCAATACCCAATATTTCCAGCTCTCCTCTCTCTGAGCACACTGAACCCCTTATGGCTGGGTAAAGCCCTATGGCTAGCTCTGGCCAATGAGTTGTAAGACAAAGTGATATGTGTCAAATCCAGGCCAGAGCAATTAACTGCCAGGCAAGATCTCCAGAGCCCTTTTTACCTCTGGCACTGAAACCAACATCTGAAGTATCAGCTACTCTATCAGCCTGGGTCCTTGAAGGACTTTAATGAACTAAGATCCCTGTTAACACATGATAAACATGTAATATGAAGGAAACACAAACCTTTGTTTGTTTTAAGCCACTGAAATTTTTGTAGCAAGGATATTCTTAAACAAATCAAAGAGTCTAGGTTTTAAGAGTAGGTCTGTGCTAATGTTTAAAAGTTTTTAAAACTTTGTTTACTGTGAATGAATTTAATGTAAAATTCATTGGAATGAGAGAAAATCAAACCTAATATATATGTTAATAAGAATGATAGGCCTACTCTGATAAAAGGCTTAGCTCTAACATGTTAAAACATCTCAAAGAACATCCAAGTTCACATCAATACAATTACTGCTACATTTTTATTTCTGCTACAAATGACTTCTGTTGTGAATTAAGTTCACTGACGTTGTTTAAAAAATAATAGTCTACTGTCGCACCTTACTACACTGATAGACAGTGACTGCAGTGGGAGGATGAGGACTTGATAATACAGGTCAATGTTGAAACCACAATGTTGTTGTGAAACCTTCGTAAGATTGTATATCAAGGATACTTTAATAATAATAATAATAGTAATAGTCGAAGAGTAAACTAAACCCAAATAAGGAATGGGAGGATGAGGACTTGATAATACAGGTCAATGTTGAAACCACAATGTTGTTGTGAAACCTTCGTAAGATTGTATATCAAGGATACTTTAATAATAATAATAATAGTAATAGTCGAAGAGTAAACTAAACCCAAATAAGGAGAAGGAAAGAATAAGTGAAGTGGAAATAAGTGAAATTTAAAAAAAAAAAACAAGAAAAAAGGAAAAAAATTCAATGAAATCAAATGTTCATTTTTTGAAGAGGAACAAAACTGACAAAATCTAGACTGACCAAGAAAAAAAAGAAAACACAAATTACTAAAATCAGAAATTAAAGGGAGGGGTATCTTGACTGACTACTTACAGAATCAAAAGGATTGCAAGGGAATACTTTGAAAAACTTTAACAACATAAATGATGAATGGATAAAATCCTGAAAAGTAACAAAACAACAAAATTAACTCAAGAAGAAATAAATCTGGATAGATCTATAAGAAGTTTCTACAAACAGCTTCCCAAAAGACTTATGGCTTCACTAGCTAATTGAATCACACATTTAAAGGGAAAATTATAACAAACCTTCACAAACTCTTCCAGATAACAGAGGAAAAGGAACACTTCATAAATTATTTGAGGCCAGAAAAACCCTAATAGGCCTCATAAGAAAACTAGAGACCATGTCCCTTGTGAGCAGACACAAAAAACCTGCACAAAATATCAGCAAACTGAATTCTACAACAAATAAAAAGAATTATACATCATGACAAGTAGGATTCATTCCAAGAATGCAAGGTTGGCTTAATACATGAAAATCAATTAATGTACCATATTAATAAATAATATGATGATTTCAATAAATGCAGAAAAGACATTTGAACATCAAATACTCAATTATGATTAAAAACTCTCAACTAGAAATAGAGGGAACCTTCTTCGAACTGATGAAGAGCATTACAAAATCCCTGTAACTATCATCAAGCATGATAGTGAAAGACTGAATGCTTTCTCCCTAAGATCATGAAGATGTCCACTGTCACTTTTATTCAGTATCATACCAACCAGTCCAAACAGGCAAGAAAAGAAATAACAGGCATACATATTGGAAAGGGTAAATAAAAACTGTTCTTATTCATAGATGACATGCTCTTCTACATAAAAAACCTTAAGAAATCTACACAAAAGACCAGAAATCTTTTTTCTAAGTTCAGCAAGGTTGAAGAATACTAGAAGTGGACAAAGATTACTGTATTTTCAGTTTTTTTCTAGTTCTGTTATTAAATCCTTCTTTTGCTAAAAGAAATCAGAGAAACAAGAGTATTTGCAATCCAGACTGTTAAGCATAGAATCTATTTAATTTAAACATAAGAACCTAATAAACAGGTCTTAAGGTTGCCTAAATGTAACTGCAAATTCCTCTCCTGTATTTTTCTGCATTAAAAAACCTTGCCATCAAAAAAAAAAGCAAAAACTATTTCTATATACTAGCAATGAATAATCCAAAAATCAAGTTAAGAAAGCAATTTCACTCACAATAATACAAAAAACAATAAAATACTCAGGAATAAATTTAACAAAATAAGTATAAGATTTATACATTAAAAACTATAAAATCTTGTTGAAAGAAATTAAAACCCTAAATAGATGGAAAGATATCCATGTTCATTGATTAGAAGACTTATTATTGTTAAGATATCAATAGTCCCCAAATTGATTTATAGATCAATGCAATCCCTATCAAGATAGAAACTGGCTTTTTTATAGATATGAACTGACAAGATAATCCTATAATTTATATGAAAATACAAAAATTCAGAGAAGACCAAAACTACCCTGTAAAAGAACAAAACTGAAAGACTTATACTCCCAATTTCAAAACTTAACTACACCGCTACAGCAATCAAGGAAGTGTGGTACTAACATATAAGGACAGACATGAGTCAATGGAGCCAAATGGAGATTCCAGAAATAAACTAATTTATATTCAACAGATAGTTGATAAGGATGTCAATGCAAGTCAGTGGGAACAAAAAAGTCGTTTAAAGAAACGACACAGAAACAACTGAACAACCACATGCAAAAAAGTGAATTTAGACTCTTATTTTAGGACATAAGGCCCTTATATTACACACACACAAAAATCAACTCAAACGTATCATTGACCTAAGCGTAACAGCTAAAGCGTTAACTCTTAGAAGAAAACATAGGACTAAGTTTTCATAGCCTTGGCTTAAGCAAAGATTTCTTAGATATAACACCAAGAATAAAGTAGTACTGGATCAAAAAATTATATCCTGAATATATAAAGAACTCTTTCAATCAATAGAAAGACAACCCAATTTTCTTTTAAATTGTTAAGAAAATCTGAATAGAGATTTTACCAAAGATGACAAGTGAATGGTGAGCAAAATGACACATGAATGGTCATAAGTAAATGACACTCAACTTAGGGAACTGCATATTAAAACCACAATGATACCATTTCACATCCATTAGAATGGCGATAATCAAAAACACAAGGAAATGGGTGGAGGATCTAAACAGACACTTCTCCAAAGAAGAAATACAAATGGCCAATCTAATCACCCCCATATATGGTCGTTAGTGTGTGGCTTCTTTTAACATGACCCAGAATTTCCACTCCTAGGTCTCTACCCAAGAGAGAAAAAACAAAACAAAACAGAAACATGTCCCCACAAAGACTTGTATGCAAATGTTCACAGCAACACCAATCATAATAGCCAAAAAGTGGAAATAATCCAAATGTCCACTAACTGGTAAATGGATAAACAAATTGCAGTATATCCATACAATGGAATAGTCTTCAGCAATATAATAGAATGAAGTACTCAAACATGCTACAGCATGGATAAATCTCAGATTATCAGCAAATGAAATCCCAAACAGAAAGGAGTTTACATGACCAAGTAGGATTTGTTCCAAGAATACAAGGTTGGTTTAATATCTGACAATCAATTAACATACCATATTAGTAGAATAAAGAACAAGAACATGATCATCTATCTCAATAGATACTAAGTTAAAAGAAGCCACACACTAACGACCATATATTGTACAAGTCCATTTATATAAGCTGTCTACAAAAGGCAAATATATATAGAGAAAGTAATCATTAGTTATTAGGGGCTAGAGTAGGAACAAGGAATGACTACAAATAGACACAAGGGCTCTTTTTGGGGTGATAGAAATGTGCTAAAATTAGATTGTAGTAAAAGTCACACAACTCTGTAAATATACTAAATATCTATAAACTGTATACTTAAAACAAGTGAACCGCATGGTCTATAAATTATTTACCTCAATTTTAGTTATTTTTTAAAAGATCTTATAGCCTAAATTCTAACATGACACAAGACTATTAAAATCTTAGAAGCAAAAATTATCTTATCATTCTATCACTTATACTCAACAAAGTGCTTAACAATCAATATGAATACTGAAATGAAAAATGAACTTGCCAAGAGTAAATGGTTTCCTGAAAAATAAAAACTAAATGGTCCCAAAAAGTCAATTTTACTAACCAGAAATTTGTTTAGAGCCTGATGATCCTCCATGTTCTAGCTTGGCCTTCTTTTTTTTTGATGATGATGAAGAGGACTCAGAAGACAGTAAACGTTTTTCTACTACAGGAGTGGAAAGAGCTCGTTTTTTGAACAGCTCCCGTTCTCTCAACAGGCTTGGATCCATAATGCTGCAGAAATACAAATAAGTATCTTTAATACAGATCCCAGTCACTCAAACCTATATGCCAGGTCCACAGGTCTCAAAAGTTACTTCCCAAACCACAATGAAATACATCACCTCACACCAGTTAGAATGTCCACTATCCAACAGACAAGAAATAACAAGTGTTGACAAGTATGTGGAGAAAAGGGGAACCCTCCTACACTGCTGGTAACAATGTACATTGGTGCAACCACTGTGGAAAGCAGTATGTTCACCAAAAAAAGAAAAATCAAAGTACCACATGACTCAGTCATTCCACTTCTAGGAATTTACCTGAAGAAAACAAAATCCCTGATTCAAAAAGATATATGTACCCCTATGTTTACTGCCACATTGTTTACAATGGCCAAGATATGGAAGCAACCTAGGTGTCCATCGATAAGATAAATGGATAAAGAAGATGTGGTAACATATACACAATGGAGTAATATTCAGCCAAAAAGAAGAAATCCTGCCATTTGTGACAACATGGCTGGATGCACCTAGAGGGTATCACGCTCAGTGAAGTAAGCCAGGCAGAGAAAGACAACTATCAAAATGATCTCACAGATTTGTGGAGTATAAAAACAAAGCAAAACAGAAGGAACAAAACAGCAGCAGACTCTTAGATACTGAGAAGTGACTGGTGGTGACCATGGGAATAAAAGGTGAAGGGGATAAAAGGGCACAGAAATTCTCAATCACAATATAAGCTGGTCATGGGGATGGCAGTACAGCACAGAGAATATAGCCAATGATTGTGTAACATCTTCCTATGTTGAGAGATAGTAACCGCTTAGTGGAGAGTGAGGATTTAATGAGTAACTAGTGAGCCACTGTGTTGTATACTTGAAACCAATATACGATTGTGTATCAATGAAACAGCAATAAAAAATAATAAATTTTTAAACAGTTATTTCCCAAATAAAACTGCCTTTTATTGTAACTCTCTAACACTTATATTTATTCATTTACTCATTCACTCAAAGAAATCTTTCATTAGTGCCTATTATGTGCCAAGCATCGTGCTAGGCACTGGTAAGAGAAACAGAATTCTCTAAAGCTCTACAACTGTGCTGTCCAACATGGTAGCCACCAGCTCCATGGGCTCCTGAGCACAAGATGTACTTCAAGTGTAAAATACACACCAGATTTAAAAGACTTAGTACAAAGGACGTTTAAAATTACTAATGAGATATTTTACAGTGATTACATGTTGACAAGTTAATGTTTTAGACACACTGGGTTAAATAATTTCCCCCAAATTTTTTTTACTCTTTAAAAACAAATATGCCTACTAGAAAGTTATGGCTCATACATCCAGCTCACAATGTATTTCTATTAGACAACACTGCTCTAGAAACTACATGAAGACACAGGGCATACATTAGGAAACTGGTGAACTCTATCATCAAGTGATGAAGAGAATGGATTAATATTAGAAATATCTACAGAAAACTCCTGATTTGGAGGGAGGTGGAACTAGACATCTTCAGTTATAAGCCATTTCAGTACAACCAGGGAAGCCACAGGTTCTTCAACAAGTATTTTTAAATGTTCCTCTCTTGTCTGCAACTCTCCCTAGATCCCTGTGGAGAGTCTCGGAAGCACACAAAACCACTATGTAAATGACTTTTGTACTTGTTAACACTAGTGTTCCTAAGTTGGGAAGGAATGTCCCAGAAGAAAAAGATTCTACCTTATACTTTATACTTTGAAAGCCTTCAAGCAAAGGTAGCTTAATAATTATTTGTTAAATGAGCTGTGAACAGAAAAACATCTTTAAATCAATCTTGCCTCATTGTTACTGGCTTCACAAGCCTTTATGACTTCTCTTTGTGAGGCACCGTACTTCAAGCTTTGAAAGGTTCTGGAAGATAACTCCTTACCTTCAAGCAGCTTACATTTGAGATCATGAAAGCACTGAGTGCCTCACTTGAAAAGCAATGAATAAATAAAATGTGAGGGAGTGCAAAAGTTAAACATCATTATTGGTAAGAAATAATCGGAGTCAACCTCAGTGAAGGAAGGAAAGAAGGGTTACTGGCACTAAACCTCTGAGCAAAGCCCTGACTTCTCCCCTCAGTTCCAATCCCCAACAGCCACATGACCCAAGGCAATTCACTAGGCCTTCTAAACCCAATTTTAACAGGAGTAAAATAAGGATACTACTAATGTTGACAACATCTAGCCCAACTGTAAAAATAAAATGAGAAAATGTTTGTGGAAATAATTTTTTAAAGAGTGAAGCTACACAAATATACATTATTTCGGTATTACTATTTTAAGTTGGATCTGAAAAGCAGTAACAGAATGATTGTACTGGGGTGAGGAAAATAGGCCACAGCCTTTGGTGAGGGAAAGAACTGAAGAACAAGTGATAAGGTGGGGGCGACAAGTCCAAAACAGGAAACATTTGTGTCTCTTTATTTCACCTTGTAAAGACAGGCTACTAATCCAGGCTTTTCATCGTGATTTTAAACACAGATTTAAATAAAAGCTTTACAGTTTACAAAAACCTAAATGCATATAGCTTTTGATCCTCACAACACTGAGATAACAGGCATTAGTTTTATTTCTATTTTAATATGTGATGTCTGAAATGAAGAGGTACGGTTAAGGCCACACAACTGGAAGGGCGTGGACAAAGACCCAAATATCCTGAGTTCCAAATCAAGGGCTCCTTACTCCACAGTTGCTGGTAAAACAAAGGCTACCTTTGTGGTGTGGTAAGGTTCAATCGCACCTAGAGCAAAAGGCTTAAAGTTTGTCTTTCACTATTACACCCTTCGCCTAACTTTTCGTCCTTTTTCTCAGAAGACTCAGTATTTGTGGAATCCAACATGTCCTGACCTGTAGTAGACAGGACACATCACTATTTGTTTTACATTTAAAAACCATCACCACTAAGTGAGCTCACGTGTTCCTTCACAGATGGCCGCTGAGAAGCCAAAAATTAAATCAAAGTATTCTGGCTCCGAAGCGCACGCTCCTGTCACTAGACAGCCTTTGTACTTTTCCGCTTTTCGCTTCCTTCCCTCAGCCTCAGAAGGTGCCAGTGGCACCTAAGAACACTGACGTGACCGGCCAGCAAGCTGGGAAACGGGACCGCTTACCTCTTAAACGACAGAAAGGTAGAGGTGGACAAAAAAAGCACCGCAGCACTTTGTCCTGGAAAAAATGTCTTTTGACTTTGCAGAAAACAACTGTCACAACCAAAGTTTAGGAATCACTACAACTAGGTCTCCAAAAGGCAGCTTAAAAAAACAGTCCGTCAATGAGCATCTAAATCACAGCCTTTAGCTGGCGGGACGCCGCGGGGGGCTTCAGACTCCACACACGTTTCGCTCGTTCACTGCTAATGGAAACTCGGGGGCTGGCGGAGAGGCGCGAGCAGCTCTCCGACTGCGACTTTCCCCTCTTTCCAACCCGAAAGTTTGCTCAATGAACCTCCGGCCTCAAAGACAATGCTCCCGAAAAGTTGGTCCTGCGTCTAAATGCGTTTTTCGCACCGAACGACAACCCCAGCCTCCCGCCGCATGGGAGAAACGCGCCCCCCACGGAGGAGGTCCGGAGCAACAACAGGCCGGGCCCCGCGCCCCCAACCGGCGGCCGCAGCCCTCACCTGCGCGAAAAGGGCCGCCCCACGCGACCCGCCGCCGCCCTCGTAGCCGCCGCTCCCTGCTCGTGGTCAGCGCCCCCACCTGCGCGCACGCACGCCCAGCGCTGCCCCGCCAGGTCGGGGTCTCGGCACGGGCGGCCGCGGGGACACGGACGAGGCGGCGACTCGACGCTGAGCTCCGCCCGCCACTTCCTGATAAGGCTACTAAAAGCCCGGTCCCGGCAGCCACCGCGCGAGAACGCCCGTGCGTCATCACGTGCCGCACCTGGGTTCGCAAGAATTGGCCTTCCAGGGCGTCCCGATCTCCATGACAACGGGAGGGTGGCCTGCGGCGGGACGAGAACTAGACTACGGTGGGAAGCGAAGAGCCGCCGCTAAAATGGAAGAACTATTTTCCTTTGCATTAATTTAAAGCTACCACGTCCTCCTCCAGCGTGCTCTGGAATGTTTAACCGACGCGATTTTTAAAGCTGAGTGTCTACCAGGTGTTTTGTGACTTCAAATGCCAGACGCCAGCACCTAAACTTCAAAGAATATAGTTCCAGCTCCTTAATTTACTAGTGATAAAAAGAGGGGCCCAGTGAAGCTAACTTGCTCCAGCATAGCAAGCAAAGGAAAATCCTAACGTGAAGCTCAGGTTCTGAACTGACACCAGTGCTCTTTCCAGGGCACCTGTGAACTCTTAGAAAAGGATGTCAGGGTCAGAAGCAACCTGAAGGGGTAGAAATACAGCGACGATAAATAACCGGCCTTGCCCTAGACCTGCGGCCTTCCTTTCCTCATTCATAACCTTAGAGCGGCAGCATAGCCAGTGAGTGCTCAATTATTCTGATAGCTAACTGTTTAGTACTGGGTACTCTTCAAGTTACTTAACCTGTGCCTCGATTTTCTCATCTGGAAATGAGAATAATTATACTACCACCATGGGTTACTAGCATTGGACTGTTGTGAAGACTGAGATAACACATCATCTTACCAATGGGTTTCAGCCCTGGACAAATTCACTATGGATTCAGAGACCAAAGAAATGACAGTAGAATGCTCGTGGGTGAAAGGGTTTATACCCAACTTTATTTCCACAGTGACAGGTCAATCACTAGAATCCCATCCATTCAGAGCGAGTCTGCATGCAGCAAGCCAATCTGCCCCCCGCAGCTCTCAGTCTCTGTCCTAGGCACTGCCACCACTCCAGTCTTACTTATCTCAGCTGACCGGCAGCCTTGCAGCCGTGCCATGTACTGCTCAGAGCACTGGGCGGAGCTCTTCATATAGAGTCAATAACAATGTTTTGCCCACAGGTGTGTAGTGAGCCAGCCAACGAGGGCCAGGTGAGAATCCTGGCCATAGAAATCTTCACTTTACCCCCACACATAAATTTTTATTCATAACCTTTAAATAAAGCCAAAAGATGATTGTCTTTTTAAAATTAGTTTCATTCTAGAGGATTTTGTAATAAACCTACTTGATGATCAACTGACACTCTCAGGAAAGGTAACTTCATTTGAATAACAGTTTATGAGCACCCAGAGGATTTATAACCCAGTGAAGTCAGAGATTAATTGGTAAAAACTGATGAGGTGCACTCAGAAGCAAAAGAAGGTATTCTGTACAAAAATAATCCAAAAGGTTAAAATGGCATGGTCCTACAAAAGATGAGCCAGTTTTGAGTCAACTTTTATTTCATCATTCCTTTCCCCAAAGATTGTATAAGTTGCAGTTTCTCATATGCTTGTGTAATCAGTTCTCATTCTGCCAGCTCCCTTATTAATGAGTGAAAGACTTAGTATTAAATGGGCAATGGCTATACCATGTAACGGTCAGGATCTGCTCAAACACTGCATATTTCCCTATTTTTGACACCCTCTCCCAAACATACACATCCATGAAGACCAACCAGAAGAAACCAAATATACCCCCCAAACCAATTACATACATGCCCCCACTTCTAGTTACTCCATTTCCAGCTTCCCTTGCCAAAAAACCTTTAATCAGAACATACCAGAAGCAGCCCTTGTTTTGTTTTCACTATAAAGCTTCCCCTCTCCCGGACTGCCTATGAGTCTCTGCCAAACCAAATGATGGAAGCTGTGTCTGCGTTGTTGTAGCAAGTTCCATAACCTCTTTCCTCCTTTGAGCGGTCATTTATTTTCACTTGTGTTAAATAAAATTTTGACACCTGATCATTACCCAGTCACTTAACTATTAGGAGTTTAACAATTAGGGAATCGTGCTTTTACAGAACTAGATCTACCACATGGAAAGCACTCAAGGAACTCTTAAATGATAAAGTGATACCACATAAATTCTGAAGAGCTTATTTGAGCAAACATTGATTCAAATCAAGCAGCCTGAAACAAAATGTTTAGGAGCAGTCCACTGGGAGGAGTAAGGGAAAAGGCTTGTATAGAGAAGACTTAAGAAGCAAATCAAAGGAAGTATTTGATTGGCTGTAGCTTAAGCACTTGCATTATTTGGGAAAGCCTAGTTGGTTGTGATTATAGTCCTTCGATTTCCTTTTCTCAGATTTAAGTGCATGGACTCTGGCTTAGGTTTACTTAGGCTACCAAGGCATTAGAGCTACCGCAGTCTAGTGGCCTCCTTTAAAGTAAAAGTAGTTTAATTATTTTAACACAAATGCTCACAATTCTTCCTTTATTTCAGGGCCTTGTCTCATTTCAGCCAGTTGGAACAGACAGTAGACAGAGTTAAGCCTTCTAATTAAGCCAATATTAGAATGTTATTTATAATCTAAACACTTAAACCTCAATTGCCCCATCTATACCCAACATTAATTGTTAATATCATCATTGCCCAACTTGAAACCCTCCCAAGAGATGCCCCTGCAAACTATTAAAATATATAGTTGATGAATGTTGTCAACTAGAGGCATCACTCCAGTTTGTACCTACCTGCCTGTTGCCTGTGACTCGGGCATAACACTAAGAGCAATGACTGCATTCATTCAATGCGGTTTTGGGTGATATCCTGTACTCTGAAAGTACTCCTCAAGCAAAGAAATGGACACCCTATAGGGCCCATAATTAGGCCATTTTTGTGTCAGAAGCACTTACCCATGGACACCACACTACAAATGAACTAAAAAAGGATTCTGCTTGTCTGCTGGTAGTATTGACAAGAATGGCAGACTTAACTGTTTTCAAACCTCAGCCCAAATTAGCTTAATTTCAGAGAATTTAAGATTTGGGGTTAAACATGCAAAGTTTTACTCTGCCTTCTCATCCTTTTAACACAATATAGACACCCTCTGGGATGCCCCTGCGGCAGCCCTAGATAGTGCTTAGGGAAGGCATAGGAAAAACATCCCCCCTCGGAGGTCAGGGACATGGATGGCTATTTACAAGGACATGGCTATTTGTGCAATATACACGAAGTCTTCACCCTGAAGCTTAAATAACTCCTTGAAATGATTAAAACCACCAAATATTGGCAGCCTCAGTATTTTCAGGTCAGAAGGGTGTGGCCAGTGTCAAATTATATTAGGAATGATCCAAGCCACTAGGTGCAATAGCAATTTACTTCTTTGGTTTTTTAAATTTTTTTAATGTTTTGATATTTTTGTTTTTGCAGTAGTAATTTATGTCTCATCTCATGAATGCTTATAATAGCCTACATACTATAGTAGAAAGTGTGGTGGCTTTTTCAAGGAAATATGATATGTATATGTCAGTAAACATTCTTCTGTCCTGACCTATCCAAACCCTCCCACCACACACAAAAAAATTCAGTATGTCACGAGGTTCCAATATAATGGGTTGATATTTTTCTCATAAAATATATATGTAACATAAAAATTGTCATTTCAACCACTTTAAAGTACACAACTTGATGACATTAATTGCCTTCATATAACTATGTAACCACCAACATTATTTCCAAAACTTTTCATTGCTCCAAAAGAAACTGTACCCATTAAGCAGTAACTCCCTATTCCCGCTCCCCTGCAACCCTGGCAACTTCTAATCTACTTTCTATCTCTATGAATTTGTCCTCATTTATTCAAGGAGAATAATACAATATTGTCTTTATGAGTCATGACTTATTTCACTTGACATGTTTTCAGGGTTCATCCATGTTGTAGCATGTATCAGAACTTCATTCTTTTTTATGTAGTAGCTCAATTTTATTTTTTTACATTATAAATTGTTTGGGAGAGGAAAATTTAAGGTAAGGCAAATAAATTTACTTCTTTCTGCTATCAAATAATAACTACCTTTCTACTCCCTTCACCGGTTAATCCATTTGAACTAACTAGATACCTAAATTCTCAAAATAGTCCAAAGCAAATTAGTCCACATGTACACAAATCAGGAGCTAAAGTACTGCTCATCATCGGTCCTGGTTTTCTCTAGCAGTGACAACCTCTGCTGTCTCCAAGCCTTTTTCCCCTGCCTTCTGACGTAGCATGCCCAACCCTGAAAGTATCTTCCCAGGACTCTGCTTCCTTCTCAAGCATTCATCCCATGAGGGAGAAATCTGTCTACCCATCTTAAATTCTTAGGGTAGTGCCCTATCATTAGATTACAAAAAACAGATGAATAAGAGAAAAACAGGATTTTATTAGCATGTGCATTACACCCAGGCATAGGAGTACCAGGAGACCAGCAACTCAAAGGGATGGTTAGAACCTGAGCTTACTTACTATCTTAACAAAAGAACAAGAACATTTTAGAGAAGTGACAACACCTTGAGTGAAAAGGACTTGGAGTTTCTAGGGTGGTAAATTGTGAGAAGGCAAAAATATGGGGAAACTAATAGAAGATAAGGGCTGGTTGGTAATGTTTGCTATGTGGATTCTTCTCGTGCCACCTCTTGGATGGTAAGGATCTAAAGCTGTCTCCGGTGATTAACGTTTGCTCTTCCTGGTACAGAGGAGCCACCTTTACAAATTTGCATTCTACTTTTAGGCAAATATGGGAAGGCTTGAAGCTTTTCTGATTTTGCTTCTTCTCAATTTCCTTTAGTCCAAAATGATCCTTGCACCAAAGTGGCATATTCTGTAGTGGCATCTCCTGCTACCCTATAATGCTTTGTCTTGAAAGCCTCCTCCAAAAAGCAAACATTTGCTAGTGCGCCTACTTAGTAACTTTCAATCTGCGGGGGGTTAAAATACTGGCCTTTAGAGCCAGTTAGAACTGGCCTGAATCTCTGCTCTACCACTAACTAGTTGT